TAAATAAAAGTTAATTAGTTAAAAAATGACAGCAGTGAGCTGGGTATGGTGGTTTCCACTTGTAATCCCTGTATTCAGGAGGCTGAGGTAAGATAATCAAGAGTCCCAGGTTGAGGCCAGGCACTGGTAGCTCACACCTGTAATCTTAGCTACTCAGGAGGCAAAGATCAGGAGGCTCGCAGTGGAAGCCAGGCTGGGCAAGTAGTTTGTGAGACCCTATCTCGAAAAACCCCATCACAAAAAAAGGCTGGTGGAGTGGCTCAAGGTGTAGGCTCTGAGTTCAAGCCCCAGTACTGAGAAATAAATACAAAAAGAGTTCCAGGTTGAGACAAAAAAAAAGTTCCAGGTTGGACTGGGTTACATAGTACATAGGGAGACCCTGTCTCAAAACAAAAATGAAAACAAAAAGCAAAACAAAATAAAAACGTAACACAAGCAGTGACAGTGTTTATAAAAAGTTATGTATACCTGTTGGTAGTGGCTGGCCGTCTGAACTTGGGGGAATTCCAGAAGGGTTTCTGGAGGAGGTGAGTGTAGGAGCTGTGAACTAAGCATATGGGTGGGGAAAGAGCGCACCAGCAGCCAATGCAAAAGCCCTGTGGCTTGCTACCTGTGGTGGATTTGAGCCATACTGAGGAGGGCTGTGGAGCCCCCAGGGGGAGATGAGATGAGAGGAGGGGAGAATAGAGAGGGGGACAAACTTTGCAGATATTGGAGATGAATTGAGTCTTTTCCCTGAAGGAGACCTCTGACTTCATTAACATTAACCCACCCTCCCTGGATGAAACTCAGAGCCTCCCTGAGCCTCCTCTCTGGTAGGAAAGCATTCTACCATGAAGCCACACCCCAGCCCATAGTCAGCCAACCTGAGAGAGGGTAGTGGGTCCTTGGGGCACATCATGAGAAGGGGATATCTGTTTAGGTAGACAGAGCCTAGGGCAGGGGAGGACAGGAGGAGGACAGATGTCCAGCTCAGGTTTGGTGGAGTCACTCAGTCTGCAGGCAGGGTCACTATATATTTTTGTGGTACTGGGGCTTAAACTCAGATCCTATACCCTGAACCACTCCACCAGCCCTATTTGTGTTAAGTATTTTCGAGATAGGGTCTTTGGAACTATTTGCCTTGGCTGGCTTTGAACCATGATCCTCCTGATCTCTGCCTCCTGAGTTGCTAGGATTACAGGCGTGAGCTACCGGCGCCTGGCTAGGGTCACTATATTAAACAAATAAAAACCCAGGACTTGTAGATAGTTGAACTGCAGGTAGGGAATGAATACTTTTTAGTATGTCCTGTGCAATGTTTGTGAAACAGAGTAAAAAACAAAACAAAGCAAAACTTTGTTGTTTATCTGAAATTCAAATTAGGTGCGAGTCACATTTCATCTGGCAGCCCTGTTGCTCAGCAGTGGTGCTTGCCTACCATGTGCCAGGCCCTGCAATTAAAAAAAAAAAAAAGGGCTAGTGGTGTGACTCAAGTGATAAAGCTCCTGCCTAGCAAGCGTGAGGCCGAGTTCAAACCCCAGTACCACCAAAAAAAAAAAAAGTCTTGGAGGAGAAAATGGCTCTGTGGGCCTCAGTTTCCCGAAGTCTGATCTGGGAAACTCATTTTCAGGTGGGATGGCGCCACCTAGGGGCGGCTGGCGGGATCGCCCTTGACTTTACTACCGCCCACTCGTGGCCCCACCCACTGGCTCTAGCCACGCCCGAACGTCATCACCTCGCCCACCGGGTCGCAGCCCCGCAGACATCCGGTAGGGGGCGCGCGCACCTCGCAGAACCCCCGAACATTTCCTGCGGGCCTGGGGACGCATTCGCACCCCAACCTGGACCCATGGATGGAAGTGTCATCCCGGTGAAAAGAGACCAACAGAGCTGTGTTATGAGTTTTCCGGTCTTACATACTTCTGTTTTGAGGGTCTCTTCTATGAAAAAATATTAAAAATAATCTTATGGCTGTATTGATATAAAGGCAAATATAATTTAGGTTGGATTCATTATTATATGCGTAATTAATATTATTATTAATTACTTCTTGATAGTATTGAGGACTGAATTCAGGGCCTTCCTAGGCAAGGGCTCTACCACTTTTGCATGCTCACTGCCCCTATAAGCTGTGGGGGGGGCGTTTTATTATTTTAGAAAATTAAAATTACATTTTGTTGGCCCTGGGACTCCTTTGTCTAATGTCAATAAAATTGACCTAGGGACAGGTATGGATTATAGTGTATCAGGCTGCTGGGTTCCAGTGGCTTGCACCTGTAATCCTAGCTACCCAGGAGGCAGAGATCAGGAGGACTGGAGTTCGGAGCCAGTCCAGGCAAAAAGTTCGTGAGACCCTATTTCAAAAAACCCATCACAGAAAAGGGCTGGTGGGGTGGCTTGGAGTGTAGGCCTTGAGTTCAAGTACCAGTATCTCACACACACACACACACACACACACACACACACACACACATGAAAGTGTGTCAGGTTTAGAGAGGGGGCCCAGTATCTCCCTCTGGGTTTAAAAAAATATTTTGGGAGGGAATATGGATTAGCTCAAATAGGTAGAAAGCCTTCCTAGCAAGCATGAGACTCAGTTCAAACCCCAGTACCAAAGTATATATATACATACATATATATATATATATATGTAATTTTGCAAGGTGCTGGCTTCAATGCAAAAAAAAATTTTTTTCTTTTGGATATTCTTGTGTAGACAGACACCAAAAACCTTGACAAGTGAGACAGGGGACACACAAATTCATTCATTCAACCAACTTTATTAGGCACCTGTGTTCTCAGGACTAGGGACCTAGCTGTGAACTAAGCAGAGCAGATGAGTCAATACAAACATTTCAAAACAGAAAAAGCCTAATGAAGGTATCAGGGGGATACCATGGGATAATGGGGACCACCCTGACACAAATAGGTCACCAGTGTGAATTGAAGTGTTGGTTAAGAGGCCATGTGGAAAAGGTCAGGCCAGGCAGGGGGAACAGCTAGTGCAAAGGCCCTGAGTGGGAATAAGTTTGAAGTGAAACATATAAGGAGAGGTGGGTGCTTTGGGTTTTTTTAACAGGAAGAGTTGTGAGAGTTGGGCCTGGGTGAATTGTAAGAGAATTGTCCCCATCTCAGTGGAGTGACTGAGGAGGGTTGGGTGAGGATCAGGCTGGATTTTTCTTGTGCAGGAGGGTGTCCCAAACCCACAGAATCCCCAAAAGATGGTCGGTCCAGGGCTGGAGTCACTATGCTTATTTCACAGAGAAAGAGGGGGAGAGAGAGAGAGAGAGAGAGAGAGAGAGAGAGAGAGAGAGAGAGAGAGAGAGACAGGATAGAGAGAGAGAAAGAGAGAGAGAGAGAAATGGACATTCACCCTGATGTATGTCCACCCTTGACGGTCATGGGCGGGCATCCCAGGATACATGGAGCCAGCAAGTCTGTATATAAATTCCCTGGTCTTTCCCTGGACTAAAAATAGAAGCTCCTTACTGGAGGCAGCTGTGGATAATGCAACCCCTCACCTTCCTGCCCCCGCCTAGGGAATCACAGCTTGGCCTCATGTCCTTCAGGGTCAGCTTCTCCCCTCTCACACCTTTCCCTTTGAACTGTACTCAGAACAATTGCATGAGAGAGGGAGAAACTGAGGTATGGAGAGGCCCATAGGCTGCCCTGCCTGGTGGGTGGTTTCTGGCCTGAGTACCTCCACCTTTGGTGGAATTTTTTTTTCCTGAACCTTGGAGACCTGATTTGTGGGCCTGGCTCTGTGAAGCAGCTTCTCACCCTTTACCTGGGGGTGTTTCCAAACTGCTCACCGGCTAGGGTGGACCTCCGGCCCTGTCTGGGGATGGGGTGCAGCGTGGGTGGGTGTTTATGATGCTGAATGGAACCTGGGCCTCTGGCTGCGAAGCAAGGTTCCACCATCGGGTCACAGCCCCAAACAGGAAGGGTGTCTAATGTCTAAAGGTTCAGTCCCAGCCACCTGCTGCCCTTAGGCTACAAGGCCCCGGGGCCCAGGTTCCCAGCAGGGGTTCCTATTCTGGGTTCCCAGCAGGAGCCCGGTCTGGGGTAGGGCGTCAGTGGACCCACCTCGCTAGACTTGGGGATCCTGGGGAGAGAGGTGGAGGAGGCGCGATGCGAGGTGGAACCCAGAGAAAGTAGCTAAGCTGTGAGCCATAGGGGAGGGAGCTGCTCGAACTCTCCCCCACACACCAGGGACCCGAGCCCCGTTCGTGGGGATCTCGCAAAAGCGAAGTCCCCTTCAGGTGGTCCCCCTGCGCTCCCACTGGGCTCTCATCTGGGTTGGAGCTCCGGCTCTGCCATTAGCTCCCAGCTAAGCCTGCGCCACGCCCGCACGGTCTCGGTTGCCCGCCCCGCTAAATGGGATACCAATAGCCTCCATTCCACCGAGATGCGCGGGTTGAACAAAATACATGAGCCTCACTCGCTGGCACAGCGGGCTTAGGGCGTGGACGTCCTTAAAGCATCGTTCGAAAGACCATGCCCCTGTTGGGTCGTGGGTCATCAGGATTCCTCCGCGCCTTTGCTCCCGCACTGCCCCGCCTGAGCCGCGCCCTCTCCCCACGGGCAGGGCCAGGCAGTCTACCGACCTCGCCCGTCTTGCTTCTCCGCATTGGGCTCGCAGCTCAGTTTTTTCCTGGGTCTGTATGCCCGTTTCCCAGACTTTAAAACCGAGGGCCTGGGGGAGAAGTTACTCTCACCCGGTGGCTCAGACTAAGGGACAGAGGTGCAACTCCAAGCTCGCTAGGTTCATCCTAAATTCCAGGTAAGATGGGGAGAGGGTCCCCCAGGGCACGCCCGGAGCGGGAAACCCAACCCTTTCTCCCTCATCCTTCATATCTGGACGCTCATAGCTCCCCCCTCCACCACCCGCCCGCTGCGCCCCAGGCCGCGGAGCGCACTTTGACCACCGTCCCTAGGCAGGGGGCGGGGCGTCCCGCGGCGCTGTTCCCCTTCCTTTTATTATTTATTATCATTTAAAGGGGCCGCGACCTGAAAATTTCCGTCCACTCGGTACCCCTCCCCAGCCCCCGTTGGCTACTTGTGCGCCGACGGACCGAGCGCTGGGGACCCGGGGGCGTCCGAGGAAGGTGGAGGGGGCCTCGCGAGACCCTGCTGCGTCCCGGGCCGCGGCACTGAATCACCGGAGAGGTATTTGCATCTGAGAGCGATTTGTCACCCGGTGATTTGTCTGCGGGGCGGTGAGCGCCGGGTGGGGGAGGGGCGGGGCGGGGGACCGGCAGCGCGCGGGGAGCCTCGTACCAATCCGGGCGGATGGGGGTGTAGACGCGGACGCGGCTGGCGACTCGGTGAGTCGGCGCGCCGTACAAGCCCAGCTGGCGGCCGTGAGCCTGCAAGGCGCACCAGCGCCGGGGAGGCCAGGGGAGGCCAGGCGAGGCCGGGCCGCGGGCATGCGCCCCCCGAGCCGCCCCGCGCGGTAAGGCCTTTTGGGCTCGGGTTCCGGCCCTGGATGCGCTCGCTGCGCGCTGGAAGCCGAGAAAGGCGTCCCCAAAGTTAGGCAGAGACGCGGATGGGGGTCTAGAACTGGGCTGGCGACACTAGGCGGTCAGGATTTGGGTGGGTGTCTCTGTGCTTGACCCTGGAGACTTCACCTGGTACCGAAGTGCACAGGAGCGCGCGGGGCGATTGGGGGTCGCAAGTGCGCGTGCCCCCGGATTAGGCGGAAGGAAATGGGCTGTGTGTGCGCGCGCAGGGGGCTGCGCTCTGGATTTTATTTCATTTCTTTTTCTCGCCGAAACCTGGTGTGTATTCGCGAGCCCATAGGGGTGGGCAGTTCCTAGAGACCCTCCCCAACCTGGTGCGTTTACGTATAGAGTGTCGGCTCTGGCGCATACGGGGTCCCGCGCCTGGCTGTGCGCACGGCGCTGCTACCCCGCGGGGGGTCCCAGAGAAGTCTTCTCTCCGGTCCCAACGCCCCCAGACACAAAAGCCGGGGCGCAGGAAGCGCGCGTGTGTTAACTCCAACGTTCGCGCAGGCTACGGCGCGGGTTTGTCAAATATCTTCCGTTTTTGGCCGTTCGGGCTGCACGGTTCCCCCCCCACACTCCCCAATGCAAATCTACCGCTTTCCAAGAAGCCTTTGAAATCCGGACTGGGGTTTTTTTGTCGTCTTGCTGCTTCTTCGGATTTGCTTTTCTCACTTCCTCTGGGGTCCCCTCCCCACCTTCTCAGCCCCCCTCCTCAGCTTTTTCCCCCTCCCCCTCCTCTTTCCTCTGTGGAGTGAAGGGCCCCTTTCGCCACCGCGGCTCCAGCCTTGCACAACTCTTTAAATAACCGTGTTTTGCAAGGCCCAGCCGATCGGGTGACCTCTCTCTCTCCCGAGGCAATGGGGGGGGAGGGTGTGGCCCTGAGTTCTTCCCAGCCAGGTTCCCGCGACCACCCTGCACCCTGTTCCCGCCTAGGAATGCCTCTCTGTGGGGCTGTCATAAAGTGGGGGGTGGGGGCAGAGGACAAAGGGCTCCTTGGAGGAGGGGTCTGCAGGGGTGGGCGTTGTCAGCTTGGGGTTAATGTGGCCGGTGGCGGGGGTTGGGGGGGCACAGGCCGGGCCCAGGAGGCTCAGGGGTTCCCACCTGCCCCCTCCACCAGCCCTAACTAGGAGGCCTGCCCTGTTTCCCTCCCCCACTCAGTGACCCGGAAGGGTCAGTAAGCCCAGCAGGCCTGCGGGGGGGGGGGCGCCGAAGGGGAGCAGCAGCTTCCTCTGGCCTCTTCCTTCTGTGCCCCCCCAAAGACGGGGCGTCGCCCCGAGCGTTTCCGTGGGGGGGGTCATCTTGAAGTTGTCAAAGGTGGGGGAGGGGTGACGGACCAGACCAGACACAGCCAGAAATGTCCCCTCAGCAATTCTTGGGTCAGTCGTGTGTGTGGGGGGGTGGCCAGCAGCCCCAGGGGGCGGGGGCTGGGTTCTGCTCTTGCTGCCTCTGGAGGACAAGGCTCTGTTGGTGACTGTCCATGCCCTGGTCCCTGGAACTCCTACTCTCCCTGAGATGACACCGCCCAAGCCCTGTTTGGGGTTGTGCCTCCCTTTCCCAGGGGACCACCCACCTGCCCTCAACACTGGCCTTTATTCCTCTGCTGGAAGCCTCAGGTCTGGGAGTAGGATGTCTGGGGGAGGGGGCCATGGACACTCTGTGGGTTTGGCAGAGCTCCTTCCAAGGCTGGAGGGATCTACACTGCAAGAGCCCATTGGTGGGGGGCAGGTCATCAGGGGTCTAAAACAATGGGAGCAAACCTCCTTCTGCCTTCTTTTAGGCTCTCAGTTCCAGAAGCTGTGTATAAACCCTGGGGTTCATTTGCCAGGTAGGGTTAGGGATGGTGTCCTAGACCCTCTTGTCTTAGAGAAGCGTGGAGCTTTGCTCCCTCCCCCACTGTCCCTTGAGGTGACACTGGGGCTTGTTGGGTTCTGCCCAGCTGTTTTATTGGTGGCCTGGGCTGGTAGGGGTGTGGCCTGGCCTGGGGAGGACCTGAATCCTGAGACATCCCTCCTGGAGCCCTGTCAGCATTGATGGTGGGCTGACAGACCCCATGCGGTGCAGACCATGTTGCATTCTGTGACATTCACCCACTTGGCGTCCCAAGAACTGGGAACACCAGACCTTTGTCCCCCGCAGTCTAGAACACTGTGGGTAGCTCGGATGTTACCCAGCCCTGGGTGTCCTTCATCTAGGGTTTGCTGAACCTCAGTTTCCCTCATAACGTAGAATGGGGACCCTCCTGTTGTCTCTTCCTAGATGCTGGGTAGCACCAGCCATGAGCTCACTTCATCCCCATGTGGATGTGATGAAGTGGGTGCTGTGTGATGAATGGGAGAAACACCCAGAGGAAAACTGGGGCTTAGGCATTGCTGTGGGGACGTGGTAAGAACATGAGTGGGGATGGTTTGCCCACGCTTGCGGAGCAGGTGTGCAGTGTGGCCAGCCATTGTCTCTTAGCCTGAGAAAGGAGGTGCTTGGGACCTCTGAGGGCCAAGCTGTTCCAACATGGGCATGGGCAGCACCTAGAACTCAGAACCCACCTGGACTCTGGGGTCCAGGGCTGACTGTAGCCAGTCAAAGGCCAGGAACATAGTGTCCCCTCCATCTCTGCTTATGAAGCAATAATCCAAGGTGTCCTGAGCGGGCACAGTTGGTGACAGCATGCTTCCCTATGGCCTAGTTGGGAGGGGATCTTGAAACCCCTGGGAGTCCAGTGTGGGTGACCACGGTCTGCAGACCCACAGGAGGGTAGAGAGACAGGTGAATGTGCTGGGCGTGCCACTTTGCTTCTGGAGGACTGCCAGGCTTGCACCCTGATCAGAATGGTCAAGTGTGAATAATTCTTCCAGAGGCCTCTGTGGCCTGATTTCTTGAGAAGGATGGTCTCAGGCATGCTCTGACGTCCTCTTTTGCTGGCCCCCAGGTTTCTGCAAGCACGTGAATGAGCCAGACACCAGACGCTGCCCCTGGGTGCCCAGTGTGAGAAGGTGCCTGCCTGCCACTGGCATGCCCCGCCAGCCTTCAGCCTGAGCCCGGCGGCCCCCGCCCCCGCCCTCCCCGCCACCCTGCACTGCCCCGGCTCCCCCGAGGCCCCCACGCTGCAGTGTGGCCGGGCCCCCTCCCCACAGGGGCCGCCCCCGCCACCCGCCCCTGGTGCCCGGGGTGGCGGTGGCCCGGCCCGCAGGGCCATGAAGCTGCAGGCCGTGATGGAGACACTCTTGCAGAGGCAGCAACGAGCCCGCCAGGAGCTGGAGGCCCGGCAGCCACTGCCAGCTGAGCCCCCTGCTGGACCCGTGGCCCGGGCCCGGGCCACTCCAGATGAGGACAGAGAGCCTGAGAATGCCCGAATGCAGCGGACACAGATGGCCGCACTGGCTGCTATGCGGGCCGCTGCCGCAGGACTGGGACATCCACCCAGCCCTGACTGCTCTGAGGATGGGCCCCCAGGCTCAGAGGATGAGGACAAAGCTCCAGAGGGGCCACCAGATTCCCCTACCATGCCTGGCCGAGGCAGAGAGGGACCGGGACACACAGAAGGAGATGGTCACTTTGAGGATGTGGGCTCGGATGATGACCTGTGAGTTGGGACCTGGGGGCTATCATCTCAGAGCCTGTAAAAGGGGAATCAGCAAGAGAGTCATCGTTAGGGACTCCACCTGATGGGCGAGTGCTCACTGAGCACCTACTGTGTGCTGGGGAAAGAACTAGGGACAGCCAGCCGTGCCCTCTGAGGACTGACTGTGGAGAGCAGTACTGGGTAGTAGAACCTTCCAGAGAACAATGGAGAGCCCTGACTCATTGCCTTTATTTCATTTTATCTGATTTTAACATTGGCCTAGCCAGTGATGCTACAACAATTCAGCTGCAGGCAATCCAGATGGAGGGAGTGCGGGCTCTGCAGGCTCCTTGGAGGGCTCCTTGCTATGAGGGATTCAGAGACCTCAAGTTCTCATGGGGAGGCCTTTCACAACTAGAGGAGGTAGTACAAAGGGCTCCCAAAAATGTCAAGCCAAGTGCTACAGGGTGGCTGGGTCACCTTTAGATGGAGAGGATTGAAGTTCCCCAGAAAGGGAAAGGGAGGAACCAGTATAGCCAGGCTGGTGGAGGGAGCAGGTGTGCAATGGCCTGGGGCAAAACAGCTTGATAGGATGATTTGGGGCCCAGCTAGGAGCCTATGCAAGTGTAGAAGTGGAGGTGGGCAGGGGCTGAAATGTATGCCATAGGGACAGTTCTTGGCTATTAGGGATAAAGTGAACATCCCCTGATGGCTCAAGTGGTTTGTGCTCAAAAACCCTGCAGCCTGAGTAGGTGGAGGTCAGCTCTCTCCATTTTCAGAGGAGAAAACCAAGACTGGGGCAAGGGTGGACCTTGTTGTAGGCCTGGGACAAGCCTGTATCTTCCCTGATGGCGGGTCCTCTGTGTCCATCCCAGGAAGCCAAAGTGGGAGGAGGAAGAAGAGCTCGAGGAAGACCTGGGGGACGAGGATGAGGATGAGGATGACTATGAGGACGAGGAGGATGAGGACGAGGAAGGGCTGGGCCCCCCGGGCCCTGCTGGCCTGGGCTCTGCAGGCCTGTTCCCTCGCAAGGCCCAGCCAGCCCAGGCCTTCCGTGGAGACGGTGTTCCACGGGTACTGGGTGGCCTGGAGCGGCCTGGACCCATACCAGCCCACCCTGGAGGGGCTGCCCATGTGACAGCCCAGCTGCAGCCACCGGACCATGGAGACTGGACGTACGAAGAGCAGTTCAAGCAGGTGGGTAGCATGCAGTGCTGGTCACTGGGTGGCCACGGCAGAGGCATCTCTGGTACCAAGGGATCTTAGATTGGTCCCCAATACCATGGGTCAGTACGATTGATGCCCTGTGGATTCCTGTGGCAGCCATAGCTAAGAGCCTCCATGTACCTGCGGTGGACCCTTGAGTGAAGGCTGAAGTGGGACACATGGGGGACACCAGGTAGAAGGGATTACTTGGAGGGCTCCCCTGTGTCCACCCCAGAATAGGCAGAGGTGACGAGGGATAGGCAGGTCTGAGGAGGAGTGGCCAGGCTGCTGGACCAAGCTTGTGAAACTTGTCTGTGGAGCCCAGCGGGTGGGTGATGGGTGGAGAGGTGGCTTGGTGACATGGGGATGGAGCCCTGTTTGACGTGTAGATAGCCTGTGGAGAGCCCTGGGGGTGCACAGGGCATGACCACGTGGAGAGTAGTAGTTTAGCAGCTCCCTGGGCTGCCTGGTGGTGTTGGCTGCGGGTGATAGCTGAGCAGCACTTGGTGGCTGTGACTTTTGAGGAAATGGAGGAGCCAGGCTTACAAGCTCAGAGTGAGCGGTTCCCGCTGGGGCCCACTGGTAGGGTGGTCTTAGGAACTTCTGACCGCTTCCTGGGCCCAGGAGAGCCTGGATGCAGAGGAAGCAGGGGCCGCGCTGGCCCTTCCCTGCAGGAGGCCGGGCCAAAGGAAGTGGCCGGCGGGGAGCCTTTGAAGTTGGGCCGCACTGGCCAGGCAGATGGAAACCAGATGGCGGTCGGCTGGCCGGCCTGGCCTGCATTCCAGTCATGGCCAGCTGGGCCCTGCCCCAACCACCTCTGGGCACGGCCTCTGGGGGAACCGCCTCCTGCTGGCTGGGATTGAGACTTGGGTGGGCTCTGGGCAGGGTGGCCTCTGGAGGTGCAGGCCAAGGACTCTGAGTTTGGGCCACCTTCGGAGACCAGGCTGCCAGACTTGGCCAAAATGCCTCATGAGCATCACGAGCCCAGCCACCGGTGGGGAGCAGGCTGGGTGCCCCAATGTGAACCTCCCAGCACTTGGTAGAAAAGAGTACCTGTGCCCATGGCCTCAGGACTTCTGCATGAGGGCACAAAAACTCAAAAGGGGGAAGAGGGAAGAGCCGATAGTGGGATGTGGTGGGTTGGGGTGAGGGCTAGGGTTAGAGAAAGGTGAGGATTAGACTTCAGGGTTAAGGTTAGGATCAGAGCTAGGGTTAGTAGTTAGGATTGGTGATTGATAAGGATTGGTTATGGTAATCGATCAGGTGTGAGGTTAAGGCTGGGGTTAGTTTTGGGGTTAACATTAGAGGTTAGGGTTTGGATAGTGTTAGGGTTTGCTTAGTGTTAGGGTTTGGGCTAGAGATAACATCAGGTTTAGTGTTAGGGTTAGGGCTGTGGCTGCTGCTAAGGTTAGGGTTAGTTGTGGGTTAGGGTTTAGGTATAGGGTTAAGGTTAGGTGTCATGGTTGGGATTAGGGCTAGGGTTATGGTTATGTTTCTGGTTAGGGTTGGTTTAGGGTTTGGTTTAGAATTTATGTTAGTTCTGAATTAGGATTTAGGGTTAGTTTTCGGTTAGAGGTCATTCTGGGTTAGGATTAGGAGTAGTGCTGTGGTTTTGATCATGATTATGTTAGGTTTAGTGTTCATTCTGATTTAGGGTTCGAGTTAGGATTAGATTTTGGGTTGGGTTTAGGACTTCTGTTAGTGTTAGTTCTGCAGTTGGGTTAGGTTTAGGTTAGAATTAAAGTTATGATTGGGTTTAGGACTGGGTTAGGGTTAGTGTTTTGTGTTAGAGAGTTTAGAGTTAGTATTAGGGTTAGATTTATGGTCTAGTTAAGGCTTAGGTTAGGGTTATGTTTAGGGTTTGGGATAGGGTTAGTGTTATTTCTGCGTTAGGGTTCAGTGTTAGGGTTATAGGTATGGTTAGGGTTATGGTTGGTTTTTAGGGCTTGTGTTAGAGTTAGTGTTTCTTTTTTTTCTTTATTCATTTATTCGTATGTGCATACATACTGTTAGTTCTGTGTTAGGGTTTAGCGTTAGTGTTGGGTTAGAAGTCATTTTGGGTTAGGGCTAGGATTAGGGGTCACGGCTGGGTTTATGGCTAGGAATAGGTTAGAGTTAGGTTATGTGTATGGCTGTTTAGGGTTACTGTTCGTCTTTGGGTTGGTTTTGCAGACAGCTGTCAGGTGTTCCTCAGGGTTAGGGTTAGGCTTAGGGTTAGGTTTTGTATAGGGCTTATAGTGCTCATGATTTTGGGCCCTCAACTTGGAAGACAAAGACTGAGGTTAGAGTTAGCGTTGGGTTTAGGGTTTGGGTTAGGGTAGGGTTATTTTATGTGTAGGGCTGGTTAGGATTAGGGTTCAGATGAGGTTTTATGTAGTGTTATGGTTAGGTTTAAGGTCAGGGAAGGCTGGTTGAGGTCACGGTGTTGGACATATCTTGGGCCCTCAACCTAGATGTTGAAAGGTTGCCTCGACCTAGAAGGCAAGTTTGGAAGAACTGGCGGGCGGGTTTGCGCTGGGCTCCCCGGATATTCCTGAGGCCTCACCTGGGCTGGGCGGAGTGGCCTCGCTTTCAGTTCTGGCTGTTTGGGCAGAGTGCCAGCTGACCTGCCAGCAGTTGTCACCATTCCTGGGTGTGACGGGGTCACACCCTATGCCTGAGGGTGGCTGCTGGCTCAGGCCCAGCCTTAATATGGGGTTCTGGCTAGACATACTGTGTCCTTCATATGGATGCCACCCTGAGCCTGTGCTCGAACATAGTCTGTGGGCACCCCTTGGGCCCACGTGGCCCCATATGTGCCTCAGTTTCTCCCACGCGGGGCAGGGGCACTATGGTTGCCATTTCACAGATGAGAAACAGGCCCAGCATCAGGTAGAGTGTTCTCCAGCTGCCAAATCTTTTTTTTTTTTTTTCAGCACTGGGGTTTGAACTCAGAATGTCATGCTTGCTAGGCAGGCGCTCTCTTACTCGAGTCATGCCTCCAGCCTATGGTGCCAAATTCTTGATGTTTTCTGAGTTTAAAATGACACAAATGAGCATATTGAGAGCAAATTATATTTATTAATTTTCCTGACATTTGCTGTCTTCCCTGCAAGCACTTGGGGAGCCCCAGGCTAGGGGCCTGAGCCAGACAGACACCTTCACACATAGGGTCGCTGCTGGTTCAGAGGGAGGAACAAGACCCATTCAAGCCTTCTGGGGTCAGAGGTCTGAGGGAGACCTTGTGTGTTCGGCCCAGGTGTTCTGACCTCAGACTCCATGCTGGCCTGGCAGGTTTGGGTGGTCCAGACAGAGATAGGGCAGTGGGATAAGGGTCGGGTAACCTGATCCTAAAACCCGCAGTGTGTTGAAAATAAAGGCTGGTCACAGGAGTTGTTGTCTGACTTGTTTGGGACACACTCATGTTGAAATCAAAGGTGCCCCAGAGGCAGGGGCCATCTGGGGGTTTCTTTGCAGCAGGTAGCTGAAAAGGATAAACTGAGGCCAGCTCAGGCAAGGAACCTCATTGTCTTAGTTGGTCTCCCACTTTTAATGGAGCATTCCAAGTCTTCTGGTGCTCACCGGTCAATGGCAAGTGTGTGGGGAATAGGATTGCATCTGGCCACATTAGCGAGGGAGTAGGGAGGCTCCCGGAGGGGACACTTGGATTGCGCCTTATTCGGAACCAGGTATTTGGGAAAATGTACCTGGCAAAGGAAGTAGCCTGTGCAAAGGCCCTGAGGTAGGACTGTCTACACACAGATACTGTGGTGATAGAATTGAATAATGATTGGATTTTGGGATGCTGTGGGCAGATGAGGGATCAGCCCTGAAGCGCTGGGACTTCATTTTCCACTCACCATGGAGAATCAATCCATTGGCACCTTCCCGTACCCAGCTGACCAGGCACTGTGCAGCCCGTGTCAACAGTAGCTTGGTGGCTCAGCCAGCCCGGCAGATGTGTGGCCCTGGCCAGTGCTATGTTTACTCTGGCTCCTGCCCCACTCCCTTCCTGGCACGTGGCAGTCCTGGTCGGCTGGCCGCTGCTTGGCACCATCTCTGCGTCTTCCTCCCCAGTCTCAGCAGGGCTGGGGCTGAGTTCCGCCTGAGCATCCTCAACAGCTGGGACATCCCACCCTGGACTGAGGGTCTGGGGGACAGCCAGGCTGGGGAGCCCCTGAGAAGCTGGCTACTGTGGGGCTGCAAGGTGCCCTGAGGGAGCTGGCTTAGAGAGCTGAGCTGCAGGCGGGGATGGGGTGCGTCACGGGCCATGATTACAATCTCAGTGTCTTGGCATCGGACGCACATCCTGGCGGCTTCCTGTCACCCACATGGCCACACCCAGCTCAGAGTGGCCACCCTGTGATCTTAAACCAGCAGACTCTTGATCCTGGACTGTCATCTGCTTCAGGGCTTGAGCTTTGAGTCTCAATAACTCAAACAAAGTTGGAATAATTGCAAATAAAGAAAAAGACTTAAAGCAGATTTGGTAAGATGTAATTCCCATGCACAGATAGAACACATGTACAATTCAGTGGGGTCTTCTCTTTTTTCTTTTGTTCTTTGAGGCAAGGTCTCACTAACGTAGTCCACGCTGGCCTGGGACTTGCCTCTACCTCTCTAGTGCTGGAATCATAGGGGTGGCCACCACGACGTCAATTCAGTTGTTTTTCATATATTCACAGGTATGTGCAATCAAGATTTTTTTGTCACTTTTTAAATTTCAGTACATTCCATCACTCCAAGGGCAGCCTCGTCCCCATGAGCAGTCACCCTGTCTCCTGCCTGGCATGGGGTATCTACAAGTCCCCTTTCCGTCTCTCGATTTGCCTGTTCTGGACGTTTCCTATCAGTGGAGTCACACATTATGTGGTCTTGTGTGTTTGCTTCTCTCACTGGGCTTGGTGTCCTCAGGGTCCCTCCACATTGTGGAATGTATCAGAACCTCCCTTCTGCTCCTGGCTGAGTGATGCTTTGGTGTCGGATGGACCATGCTGTGCATTTCCATGAAT